CACCCCAGCCACCCTCTACCCCCCTCCTCCCCCCAAAAAATCCCACACGAAAATTAGCCGTTATCGTGCCAGCTTTCCATAAACTACAAGCTAAAATACAATCCCAATAACGACAACACCAGTGCTTTAAGCTCTAAACAATTTACGGGGCAGAATACCGCGAGGAAGGTTTTTGGCATAAATCATCACCTAAAGACATAAATTACACGTGTGGACCCAGTTACCAAATTTGTGTCAGCTGACATTGCTCAAAATCGAGATCTTTCCCGTCCTAGTTAACATTGGTAAACGTAACCCCCCTTCCTCCCACCTGATCAATAATCAAGCTTTCACGTTATGGAATTCTGATCCGACTCAGAATGTTATGCAATGTTTGCCAACACTTGAAAACTGCGCGCGTTTCTAAAATGACGACCACAAACCGTAGAGAAAAGCTAATAGAGACAATGATATGGCATTATTTTGTGTATTGCTTTCAACAAACATGTAGCATGGTGGGGAAATCAGGCGCTCGTCAAAATAATGAAATCGAGGAAAAACTTGCATTTTCCGCTCTCTGGGCAATGTTTAAATCGAATTTCTTTTTTTTTTTTTGCTCAACACCTTCTATATTCATTTAAGAACTCATTTTTCTTCTGAGTGGATTTCACTGGAAGACGTTGATCAAAGACAGAAATATAATTTGCATTTTCCAAATTACGCTTAAGCTTCTAAAGTCACCAAACTTTGGCGGCCATTTACTCGCAACTTTCATCTCCTTCAGTCACAGAAGTCTCGAATTTTATTCAGAATATAAGGGTATTTACTTTTTTCAGTAAAAACTAGTCAAATGAACATTAAGATAATACCATAACTTCATGTGCCCCAAAACTGACTAGCGCCTGATTCCACCGTGTCGTGACACAATAAACCTAATATCACAACATTGATCTGTTAAAAATTTGATTGATGAACCGACCAGAGTATGGCAATCTAGGTTACCGCCCCGTACTTGTCTCTCGTTTCAAGTTCTACGGCTGTCTCCAAGCTAACCCAGAGAAACTGAAAAGGTTTGCTGTCTGTCTGCTGAGGTGATAGGATACCTCCTATACGCCAGTGTCTGTGGTGCAGGGGTGGCATCTTCACTACGTACCTTTCACCTTTTCTTTTTTCCTCTCTCTTTATGCCGGGCGGTTTGTATCATGTTGGACTATGGAGAGGATGTCCCTTGATCAAATCCCAGACTGGACGCTCTTGAACTCGTGTCGTTTTGTGGAGTTTTCAAGGCTCTCAACTCACCTGGCAAAGTCCTATCGGGGACGGACGTTAAAGGCGGAATTTTGGCCACTTAAATAGCCTAACAGTGTTGACAGGGGTGTAAAGCCAACTTACTTTCTTTTACTGTTCCTCTTCTGTGCCAATCTGACACTCAAG